TGCTGGGCTCGGCGGGCACCGTCCTTGAGGGGCGGGGAGCCCAAAGGGAGCACCGGGCCGCGTTCCGCGGGCTGTCGCTGAGGTAGCCCTGGAAGAGTCCGTGCGACCCCTTACACGGGACAGGCCCCTAAAGGTTGAGGTGTGAAGTTACTGTGTGAGAGGCTGGTCCAGAAGCGTTCGGCGCTGTTGGGCTGAGATCCACCGTTGTTATTGTTGGGAGAAAGAGCTCCCCGAGGGAGAACTGTGCGTAGGGGGGAAGAACGGGTGGGGAGGCAGGGCTGGGTGGAGGGCGGCTTCTTCAGCCTGGAGAAGAGAAGGCTGCGGGGAGAGCTGATTACGGCCTTTCAGTACCTAAAGGGGGCCTACAGGAAAGGTGAGGACAAGCTTTTTAGTAGGGCCAGCTGTGACAGGACAAGGGGGGATGGTTTGAAACTAAACCAGAGTAGGTTTAGACTAGATAGAAGGAAGAAATTCTTTACCCTGAGGGTGGTGAAACCCTGGCAGGGGTTGCCCCGAGAGGGGGGGAGGCCCCATCCCTGGGAACATTCCAGGCCAGGTTGGCCGGGGCTGTGAGCAACCTGATGTGGTTCAAGGTGTCCCTGCTGCTGCAGGGGGGTTGGGCTGGGTGACCTCTGGGGGTCCCTTCCCACCCAAACCATTCTGTGATTCTATGATTCTGCGGCCTTGCCACTGCGCTAGGGCTGGAGCCGGGCCTCTGGCGTGCCGAAGGGTTTCCACAGCAGCACAGCCTGTAACAGTTGTTGTGTATAGTTCTGATGTAAGAAAAATCTCTGCTTGTTTGAGCCCCTCGTGTTTTAACTCTGCAAGTTGGCTGATGACTAGCAAATCGTGGTGGAATCAGAATCTGGGGTGATAAACTGTATAAGGAGGGGAGGTTTCAATGTGGAGTAATGATGGATTTAACGTGGAGTGAATGGTGTGTCTCACTAGAAGCTGTAATTCGTTCTCGAGACCCACTCCTCCTTAGTAGCCCAGACTGGAAGTCAATTACAGAATTCTGTTTAAATCAAGACTGTCTTTTTCTGAAATTGAGTATGATGAACAAAAATTTCATTTGATAGAAGTACTCGGTGAACTAAAGCATGTGAAAAGAATCCCGGAATGAGCCCTCTGTTTTTTGCTCTTTAAGGAATGTTTTTATCATATACCAGCAAACTGCTTTTAAATCTTTACAGGTAAATGGACTATAAGAAAATTTCGGATGAAGTTTCAGAAAAAATTTTATCATACAGTCAAGATACTTCAGGATGGAGAGTGATAAAAGTTTCAGTAAGAAAAAGTTCATGTTGTTTATAAAGTTGTTATTTTTATTAAACATTAAATTATTATTTTTTGTTGCAAAAAGTATTTAAAACTGTTTTCCTTTAAAAATTAGTTGGCAACTCTTTATCAACTGCTAAGTTTTTATTTTTCCTTTTTCTACTTTGAGAAAAATGTTACAGTTTCTTCAAAGCCTTCAAAAGAGTACGCAGGAAATATGTAAGTACTTATATTTTGTTTGTCATTGTAATGAATAACAACATATTTTTTGAACAGTGACACCCAAGACTGAAATGGAAATTTTAACTGTGCTCTGTCCTTCATGAAAGCGTTTCGTTTTGTTACCCGTGGAGAAGATTTTGCACTGCAGCTACACGGGGTCAGCAGTAGGGCTGGAATACAAGAGATGGATTTCCCATGCAATTTTCAACTGTGCTATGAAAATTGAATACTAGATAACACTAATATGGAATAAGTAGATACAGAGTCCAGTTTTGACCTGAAGTCAGTGGCTCTTCCTGGTGGGATATTCTGTTCAAGCCGTTACATCTTACCAACTGGGCTTTGCTTTTCACCCCTTTGTACTTGTGAAGTGACTGATATGCATGCAGATGTGCTTATGCTCTCGCTCTACCTTATCTGTCCTTTGTACCTTTTTCTTTCTGGCACCTGAAACTGAATTAACTGTACTGAGGATAAGAAGGTCATACAATCTCTGGAACAACAACTTCATCTGCCCTTCCTTCTCCTGAGGAAGAGGAATTCTGTGCTGTTGTTCAGCGGCTAGATTTGGCCCAAAGGGTGGGGTTAGCTGAGGCAGATGAAGCTGATCCCATAACTTGCTGTCACTGATAGCGTTGGCTCTACTCTTTACATTCCTCCACCCCTCTTCCCTCCCCTCTCTTGGCTCTCCAATCCTGCTTCTCATTTATGGTGGCTATGGCACTCAGCTGACTCTTTACCGAGCTGATTCAGCTCATTAAACTAGGGGAAAGAAGAAAAAAAAAAATCTCACTGAAGAGAGGTGTGCCAAAGCAAAGCAGAGGAAAAGAGGACACTTGAAGATATCTTTAGCCTCTTTCTTTTTTTTTTTTTTGTATTAAAATGCCTAATGGGTATTAAATTATATTAAATGCCAATCTAGACAGATAGGCAGTAGAGAAAATTTACATCTGATTCTTTTTTGTTCTTAATATGATGAGATGTTTGTGATTAGTGGTATTCTAAATCCAAAAGTCTTGCTTGGTTTTCTAATTATTTCTGAAGGTTTGAATGAAGAAGGTATTAATCACAGAAAATGCTATATCACTAGTATTACAGAAGAATTACTCTACAGTATTGTAATGGAAAACTGTTGTAATAGTTCATTAGAATATGTTAAAAGTACTGTTATCTTAATAAGATTTTGCATACTTTGTATGTGGCGTTATTATTTTATTTTAGGTCCTATTTCAATACAGGTAGATCTGAAGAAGTGAGAGTCTGGTTGCTTAGAATTCATAAGAATGTGCCTGGCTTATTTCTGTGGAGGAATAAAGATGTGCTGTAGTCTCAGTCAGGCACGAAGACATTTTCAGTTGTACTCAGATCTGTATGTAGCAAGTCCTCTGCAGTTAGGAGAAGCGTCATTGTGCTCTCTGCCATTTGGTACAGAGAGCCAAAGTCTTTCATTCATTTATCTTTGTACAAATCTTTGTACCAGCAGTACTGGTCCCCAGTGTGTCTTTTGTGAAGGAATACTCCCTGTTTCTAGGAGCCAAAGTATAGCTGTTCCCATTTTCAGTTTGACGTTGACCACTTACAAACTGCGTATCACAAATGCCAGTTTCTCTTTTAATTGGCAGGAGTATTCACAGTTTGCTTTACTTGCTAAAAGAAATCAGTGTGGGATCTGGTAGTGAGAAACAATAGAGATCCTTGCTTCACGTGAGTGAAATGTTTTCAGCAGAGTTTAGGGAAGCATTAAGGTGATTGTTCAAGGCTGAATGGGATTTCATTTGAAATTATGTCACCTTCACTCACAAAAGACAATGAGGTCTGTATTTCAGTTTGTCCAAGATAGTGAGACTAGATTCGGGGATCCAAGCGGCCTTTATCAGGCTTGCTTCCTCTTTTTCCAGTGTTCTCGATAATCCACTGTACAAACTGGAAATTGAGATTTTTCACAAGTCTGCTATTCTTTTATTCTAGCAACTGTGTCTTGCAGAAGCCTTGCCTAGAAGAAGTCCTCCTTAAGATTAACAACTCACACTGAGTTCAGGAGAGAAGATACAGGTGCTTAGGAGATTGGTACACACAAGTTCATGGGAGTTACGGAAATAAAGGGTGTATCCGAATATTAAGAAGAAGCTGGTTTTAACTGGTCCTGCCACAGCTTACGTTTGCTGTTTCTGAGTAGGCATTAAAATGTTTTCCATCACCATCGGACCTGCTGTAGCTAGTGGCGAAGTGAGTTTCTGGAGTAGTCACACACACCCATGCTGCGCTCGCTCCACCAGGGCAGTACGTGGTGACAGAGTTGCTGCAGAGTGACGAAACAGACCCGTGATTTTACAGGGCCTCTGTGTTTGGGTTTGAACTTTGCTCTTTCTGCCTTAAGCTCGTGCCTCAGCAGGGTCTGTAAATCTGATTTCATGTTTCTTAAATGGTTTGCAAGCATCGTCTCCTTTGAGCTCATCTCTTGTCACGCAGCATCCTTCACCTTTGCATTCAATTGCTGTCTGTGAGTGCTTACTGTAGTGATTCACAGTTTCTCCGAGAACTAGGTGCGAGAGCTGTCAGTGTTAGCGAGCATTTCCCAGCATTACAGGAGTTTCCCATTTCCTTGTGAAAGGCCCCTCTTCCCCTCTGTGAACTTTCCCTTGACCTCCTTAGAAGGTTATGAACAAAAGTTGGAGAAGTGCCACAATGTGCAAGTTCATAAATAGTGAGGAGACTTGCAGTCGGTGTCAAAATGGATCAAAAGTATCTGTATAGGAAAAATAAACTAAGATGAATTGCGTATATTTAAATTCACAGGTTCCTGTCTAACAGCTCACAAATAATTCATCGAAAATGTATGGTGTCAAGAACGTAATGATCTCAAAAATCAGTTACAGAACTGATAATACGGAACATAATTTTTTTTACTACTTGAATTTTAATCAATCCATCAAGCGCAATCATGTTAGTGTACTTTACCTCATTATAGCCTGGCATCCCCAACTGCTAGATGCTTATTATCATATAACTTGTTTTTCCAATTCATAACTGGGAATTCAATATTTGTTTTTTATACCATCTAGATACCGTGGAGAAGGGATAATTAAGGAAGTCCCTAGTAAAATTATTCCTTTTATGTATCTTCCCGAATATCGAAACAAATGGGACAAAGCATTACAATCTTACAAGCTGTTAGAAAGGATCGACCAGGTAATATGATAATTTAATACAAAGATTTTACTTTAACTATTTCTGCATGAATTATGGTGACTAAAAAGACCTCTACTGGGATGAAGAAAGCTCTTAATGCAAAATATGTTCTGGGTTGGTAAAAACTTCTAAACCTGCTGCTTATGTGAAATGGGTGTGAACTGTGTCCCTCCTCTGAGGCGTTAAATATTTATTGTGAAATAAATGTCCTCAAGCCTGCCAAGAATTCAGTCCATGGGAAACAACAGAAGTCTCCATGAGGAGTAGGGTGAGGCACAATCACACCAAAACGTAAGGAAAGCTCCCCTCTCACAGTGAGCGTGGTTTACCCAGATGGAAAAAAATCACCAAAGTCAAGGGCAGCCTGAAAGTTGAACTGCTGCTGTGCTAGTGCTGTGAAATACTGTGTGTTCCAAACTCCAGTGGCTTGGGGCTTGGTCTTGGGCGCTCTGGAAACCCAGAACTCAGAATTCCTATGAAGAACATCAATTTTGTGTTAGCCAGCTTTGGTCTAACCGCTTGAGCGAGGTCTCAGAACGTATTACGTGTACATGAACGGCTCAAGTGTATGAAAGTACTCTCTAAATCGTGGGAGAGAAAGAAAAAATCTTCCCCTTTTTGTCTTCCCTGAACTCCTCTCACTTTCCATTGCCTGGATCTCCTAGAGTTGGGCAGATGGTAGGATGTAGTGGTACATCCAACCATATCTTTGCTTTTTTTTTTTTTGGGAACTGATTTAGTGTAACAGATTCTGCATCTTTGTCCTAGATGCAATGTGCAGTCTAGCATGTGTATTTTAATGCAAATAGGCATGCTAGCTCCACTAAACCTGGATACTAAATGTGCACGGTTTGAGTTTTTCCATGCAGAAACTATACTCCTGCCTCAAATCTAGGCCAGAGGGAATGGCGGTGAATCCCTACCCCGTGTGCCTGGAATATCCTTTTTATGGCTCTCATGTTAGTTCAGCCCTCACTAGATAAGAGAACTGTCATCATCAGCTAAAAATAGGAACCGCTTTTTGCCACATTCTCGTTATTCAGCATGTAACGCTGCTTTGCCAATTAAATAAAACCTAGCTTCTTACATATTAATTCAAAAAATGACTTTTGCTTGTAGGACACTGGCATATACCACAGTGTAACACACAGTTACGGTATGGGACTGATTTCATCGAGAGATTTTGTTGACCTGCTGCATGTTAAACCATATCCTGGTGATATCCTTACGACTAACTGTGAGTTGCATGTAACGACTGCATGTTTTCATGTTTTGGCTACGTTCTGGAAATCCTAAGGTGAATGTCTGTAGAGTAAGCTCTGCAGCCTAATGGCAGTAGAGAGTACCTGGCTCTGTGTGGTCTTACTGATGTTAACAGTCCCCTCCTGTTTGTCCCCAAAACAAATCTGGTTTTTAATATTGAGATGATCAAAATTAATCTTTAACAAAAATACTGCATTCTTTGTTTAGTCTCCTATTATGCCTCTGTTTGAAAAAGTGAAAAAAACGTAGTAGTATGAGGAAGCTAGCGTTTATTATTTTGCTATATAAATTCAGTGTTTAGTTAGTAACACTTCTCTGTACTTAGATGGCTTCCTGAGCAAACGCTACTCGCCTCAGATGCTGTTCTCAGAGTGAACTTGCTAATTTGCTCCGTATTTGGCTCTCTTTGAGTTTGGCTCTGTAAACTTATACAAAACACAAAATTATTAATATTACAACTATATGGCCAGCCAGGCAAATCTCTCCCTGCTACTACATTTCTTTTTCCTTTGAGTGGATCTTAGTACACGGCAGAAAACAACGTTGTTCGTCTTGGAACTTTACTGACCTGTCAGTTTTTTCCAAGCCATACTCCTACAATACTTCTATTATGCAAAAGGCATGGATAGCAAAACAAAACAACCCCTCCTAACTGCTACTGTGCATGCATGCAGCTATTTCCTTGTCTTCTCTGCAGTTGCGTTTACTAATTAATGACATCTGCTGACAAACTGACTTCTTTGTTCAGAACGAAGCCACACCTCAACACTTACATGTGTAATCACGTCTGAGGGATAATACTTGGGGGTATACCTGCCCCAGCATCTATAGAAACTTCTACACGTATTGAATTACTTGCGCAAATATTTAATGTCCTTTAGGTGTTTTGTGTACAGAATGGAATTGCTAAGCCCACTGGTGACCACATTGCGAGATCTTTTACTATCCTATAGCAGTTAGTGGTCTGTTTTTAAAAGGTATTTTTGAGTCATATGATTGACGTATATAAACGTAATTAATTTGACTTTGCTTTTTGCGTGTGACAACTTGTAGCTGTCAGCGTGGAATACTCCAGCTGCCCTCCGACTCCCTCTTGTGTCCGAGGCTACAACAATCCCTGTGGATATGTGTGTTCACCTTTGCCTGAGTAAGTGTTTAAAGCCCCCTTACATCAGCATCTTTGGTTACACAGTTGTCTTCTCTGTACCAAGCTTAAAATTCACTGAACCATATAGCTTTTTTTTTTTTTTTTTTTTCAATTTTATTTAGACAATTTAATTCTGGGGAAACTTTAGAGTTCTGCGCCGATCGGTTTTGTGAGTCGGACTATCTTTTGAAACTTTTATACACCCTCTGCTTTTTCGTATCAGTGATTTCAACAGCGACGGACTAGAAATTGTAAACATCTGTACATCTCAGTGAGTTCCATAGCGAGAGGATTAAGCGTTAACCGAGGGATTTTGCTCCTTCCATCACAGGAATCCAGAGCATTCTAAGCTAGTCGTATTTATTCAGCCAGAACTAGGAGGAATGCTTCCCTGGTCTGTAGTGGAGACGGCATTACCGACGACTCTCATAAACTTAATCACTGAAACGAGAGCTGGACTGAAAGGCTTGAAAGACCGTAATTAAACGTAAGTGGAAAATAATAAGCACTTAAGTCACGTGCATCTTTTACTGGGATTCTTTTTTAAAGTAGGTGATGTTGTTTATTTTAATTGGGGTTTACGTGGAAATGTGTAAAGCTTAACTGTTAAAATGCTGAACGCTGGTTATCTCTGTTCTTGGGAATGATGCAGGAATTTACGCTGAAGTGCCATACAGTACAGGATGTCGCTTTCAGTGTAATCAGGTGATGTTTGCTAATATTTTTGCACTTTATATGCAGAGAATATATATACACACACATCCACACAAGAATCTGATGATATAAATCATAGCAGTGTTAAAATAGTCCAATATTTTGCCATAGCTTTAAACTCACTTCGATAAATTCTTACCTCAATTATGTTAACTCTTGGCTGAAACAAGCAAATGTCTTGTGTACTAGAGGCTTTCAACATGTTTATTAACTAGAAGTGTGTAAGTGTAATTAGCAACTATTTCACTGTTTTGGAATTAAATATTTGAAGAAAAGCCTGATGAATTTGTATATAGCATCTCATTAAAAGCTGCTCTTTATACACAGAGTTGTTTGTCATTTTCTGAATCCTGAGCACCAAACCTGAACAGTTTTTATACGCTGGCTAATTTCCAGGAACAAGCTGCTGATATGATTCATTTGGAAGTAATATTTCCCATTACCCCTCGGTATTTCTAGTACCTCCAGTTTGCAGGAAATAGCGATAGCCATGTGAATAGCAATTTCCATTACAAATCACAGAAAAGAGTGGTGCAAATGAAAGAATAGCGTGGAATTTGCTTTTATCTTCTCTGCTCAATCCTCTCCCAAGTTGTTAGAAACAATTAACTGCACACATAGCATAATTCAACGAAAATTAAAGTAAAAATTCCTTCCTCCAGTCACTGTTATTAATAGTGAATGCTAAAATATGTTTGCATACTGTAATATTTTGAGGACAACTAAAGATTCATCAGATAAATGTCAATTTATAAGAAAGAAAAATAAGACAAAGTACTACTTAAATCAGTCACCAGCAGGATTTATGCCAAAAGTTGTCAAAATATATTTTTAATATTCACATCTTTACAATTTACAGCAAACTTTTCATAACTAAAGTGCCTTCAAGTGCCAATTCTTACGGTGTCACCATTACGAAAGATGTTTCACCGTGGTTTAAAATATCTTAGCAAACTGTTAGACTGTGATAGACACGGTGCCGTATTGCTTCTTCCTTTATTTGTTTTAGGCTTTTCAGGGGGTTTATTCATCGAAGTCTTGGGCACGGGTTCCTCATTCTTCCACTCAGCTAGCAGTTCTTCTTGCACATCTGCAGGCAGCTCATAAAAAGTCTTTGTGTCAACATGAGGAGGAAATGCAATTCCCGATTGCCTACTCTGAGTTTTGTCTTCAGCCGCTGTTTCAAAGGCCTGCTCATCTTTATCCACGACAGGGGCAGGCAGAACAGTTTGGCTGGCTCCAGCTTCCAGAGACAACAGATCTCTCCCTCTGAAGTTTGGGGAGTCAGTAGGTTGGTTTTCCATGCTGCTGCCTGTCAGTGCACTTCTGGGAGGCTCAGAAGAACAACTGGCCCTGGAGCTGCATGCCGGAACAGTTGCAGATCCGTGGGCTGACGTGGGATGTATACTGCACCCTGCAGAGTGCGTAGCGCTGCTTAGTCCCTTACAATCTGGGGAAGTGCTGCATACCTCTTCTGCAAAACATCCCGATGGCTGACCCGAAACATTCTCAGTAGGGATTCCTTCTGTTTTTCCAGAAATAATTTCTTTTTGAATATCTTCTGGAAGTTCCCTGAAGACTTCCTGGTCAATATCACCAGGAGCCAAATGAAATGGGAAGTCAGGAATTCCTGCCTTTTTTATATTGCTTTGCTTTTCCTCTGAAAGTTTCCTAGTTTTTGTAGTTCCGGTTCTGTTGCAGTGCTGGTTCCAAGAAGCACTTCCCTCACCTTGTGAGACATCTTCTACTTCCTGTGGCAAAAAATGTACATAAAAGCGTAATTATGTTCTGTGTAATCTTCTAGTTACCAAGCAGCATTTTACTAACAGCAAGTTCTTCAAGTCAGTCCTTAACAGATGGTAATTTTTTTTCCCTTATGATCAGTAGTGGTTGTTTTTTTTTTTTAAATCTTATTTTCAAACACAGATCTTAAAAAGTACACACACATAGGAATCCTTATTCTGAAGTAACAAACACCTTGAAGTTACATTTTATTGCTTTAAAACTCTGTGGAGCTTTAGAATACACCATAGGATGTTATCCCTCGCGTTCCTGAGCAGTTGAGAAACGGACAAGTTTATCAATACGCAAAACTGCTGTGTCAAGACAGAAACAGTAAATTCATTACATGACATAATTTTGAAGTGACTAAGTTTTTGCATTACGTACTGAAAGTGTCTTGTGGAAATACTTGGCAGCATTTCCACAGACAGCTTCTACACTGTCTAGCGTATGCAACTGGGAGGTAGGAGGTCTGTTCCACTTCCGAGCGGGAATTAGAGGCTCACTAGATCAGAAGCTACTGGCCAGCACAGAATTGAATCTTTGATTTAATTTCTAGTCTGAACAGGGAGACTTGTGAATGCACAGGAAGGTAAATAATCTCTGAAAGTGTCTTAATAAAAGCAACACGGTAAATGATAGGCAACTTTAAGGAGATTTTAGTCTAAGGTAAAAGATGCTTCAGTATGCTAATGTCTGAGTAAGTGGCCTGTTGTTTCACAGATGAAAGGCAGATCTTACTGGAATGAATGCAAATTTGGGAATTATTTTTTGGAAGACATAAGTTTGGAATTCTCCCTTAGTGAATTCTATTCTTTTCGGTTAAGGGGCTCAATATCCTAGCTGGCTGTCCCATTCAGGAGAGGATTAAATCTTTGTTAAGCAGGCTGAAAGAAAGCAAACAAGTAACACCTGCTCAGAAAACTCCAAATAAATCTTCATTTTTACCAGGTGAATAAAACTTATGGTCCTAAAAATTCCAAAGCATTTAAGGTTTAAATCTGTATAATAAATACAGAAATAATCTCAGAATTTTCTTATCTGCAGATAGTTTTCAGTATCTTTCAGCTTACCCGGACACGTTTACCAGAGCCTGATGGTGGTGACATCTGCTTTAGATAGAAACCAATGGATCCTTTCTTGCTGCTAGGAAGATCTTTGAGGTTGGAGAAGCAGACGCTCAAAAGGGTAAGGTGAAATGGTAGAGCTACATCTATCATCTTTCGAAAGAGTTTCATTAGTATATCAACCAACGGGGCTATAACGTTGCTGCTTTCTAAAAGAAAAAGGGTTGGCAAAAAAAGCAATGTACGTAATCAAAAGTAACTCACTGAATAAGACTGAGTTAAATAGCAAAGTAGAAAGGCAAACTTCTAACTTCACATTCTGAACTTTCGACATTTTGCACGTACACAGAAAATTAAGAGATCCATCCAGTACTTAAAAGGAGCCTATAGGAAAGATGGGGAAAATCTTTTTAGTAGGGCCAGCTGTGACAGGACAAGGGGGGATGGTTTGAAACTAAACCAGAGTAGGTTTAGACTAGATAGAAGGAAGAAATTCTTTCCAGTGAGGGTGGTGAAACCCTGGCAGGGGTTGCCCCGAGAGGGGGTGGAGGCCCCATCCCTGGGAACATTCCAGGCCAGGTTGGCCGGGGCTGTGAGCAACCTGATGTGGTTCAAGGTGTCCCTGCTGCTGCAGGGGGGGTTGGGCTGGGTGACCTCTGGGGGTCCCTTCCCACCCAAACCATTCTATGGTTCTATGATAATCTAAGGAGTTGAAAATACAGTGCTATTCTTAGCAATATGAGAATATTTGTAACTCCATCCGTACGCACTAAGGAAAACTTTATTCATCTCAAAACATGAATTCCTGGAGTATTAAACTCTAAACACTACCAAAGGCTTCCAAAATAATCTGGCAATAGTCGTTCGGATGTTCCCTCTACCCTGTCAGGTATGTCCTGAATGGAGTAACAGACTTTTTTTTTTTTCTTCCCCTCTAGTAAAAACGCTGTATTTCACGCCTGTGAAGATTACTTTACAATATGTACTTAGGTTATAAAAAAAGAATTACAGAATACCAGCCACGCTGAATAGATATGAAAAATGATCTAATTCTCCCAAAAAGGGCCTTTACAGGGCCACGTAGGTATGGAACATTACCCCAACACTGGTAATAACGTGGCTTACTGGAGTTTGTGTGACTGTATGAGCTGACAATAATTAAGTCTCCTCCAGTGTGGAAGTCCGGTAGCAATTTTCAAGCGAGAAGCTGTGTAGGCTTTTGGCAGCTTCTCTAGGACTGTGAGAGTTCAGGAGCTAGAGTCAGGGAATGGTGATTCTGTGTGCTGCCACAGCAGTGATGCAGATTTATTTCTTCACCCCAATCTGAATGAAGTCTCAAATGCATTGCATTTGCTGGTTGGAAAGCTTAAAGGCTCTCATCCTTCTCAGACTTACTAATTTTCAGAGGTACATCAGAAAGACATTTTATTACATCACAAAATTGAGAACATAATTCAAATCCCTAACAGAGAACAGCAGATTAATAATCTGGTAAACAGCCCCCAGTCGCCCTTTCCCACCCCATCGAGAAATTTACTGCCAGGAATCCAGCCAGACCGGGTTAAAACACGGTAGTAACACAGAAGTTACCCCCTAGAGTGAAGTTTTATGTGGTTTTAGTGTATCTCGTCAAAATTACAAGTAATGAAAAAGTTTCCAAATATTAAGTGTCGGGAATATTATCATGGCATTAAGTAACGGAATTTTACAGAGAAGTTAGGTGGCAGCAGCACAAAGTTGATCTTTTCAAAAATTCTCAGTTTACCTTTTCCGAATTTCTGAATGAGATGAGGTGGAATAGGACACTGACGACTTTCCCGATTAAGCCATTTCTCGGTTGAGGAGAGCTGGCGTATGGTCAGTCTTACTGTGTGTGGCTGTCTTCCATCTTTGTATATTCTGTGGAACACAAACGTGCACAAGGCAGTAAGCGTTACGAGTATTTTTCGGAGGGTCTGTGGAAATCGTCACAGCATTTAGGTTACCAAGCCACTTAAGTTAAGCATTGCAGATCTCTCCCAACTTCTGGCTTACTCCCCTGATTATATGGGGAACTTAATTATCCGTAAGTTAGAAGTTTAACACAACGTGAATACTGTCTCTAAGAGTCTTCAACTGAAGGGAATGTGGAAATTAAGTGGGTCGGTCTGCAATACTGCCACGTTTTGATATTTAATACATGGAAAGCAGTACAGCCTTTGCAGTTATACCCTGTGTAATCCTCAGCTTTTAGCTCTTCTTCCTGCTTTTCAAGGAAACATCCCCACTTCAGCAGCAAAACATTAGCTGGCTTTTGGATGAAGGGTAAAAAACAAAGCACATAATTGTTTCTTCCCCCCTCCAAAAGGCATCCATCCCTACAAAAAAAATTCTCACTTCTCCATGTTGTACACAAGCCAGGACAAACAGCCTCACTTCAAATGTGATTACCGAGCAATGTCCAGAAGACTGCTTGCCTACAACGTTAATATAACTAAAATGGATCTATCTGTTGTGAGACTTGCATAGACGTGGGGACAGAAAACCTTTAAGACTTGTAGGTTATTTTAAGGCTTGGAGAGGCATGCAGAGAATATGGAAATATTTAGAGGGGAAAAAAAAAAGTAATGGGGGGGACAAAGGCTATTCAGGGCTGACACACAGAGGTTGCACAATCAGAAGTTGAAGCACAGCAGAAC